GTACTACTGTAGTGTGTGTGTTCCTCTGCCTCTGTGAATTGTGTGGTGTGTGTGTGTGTGTGTGTTTGTCAGTGTCTATACTTTATTTCTAAACTTCATATTTTTACAGTTTTCTGGCATCAGCTCGACACAAGTTCTCACGAAAACAGATCCATTCCATATTTTTATTGCAGGTTTAAAGCCTTCACCGTCGAAAACCAGCGTTAATCATTCTGTGACCTGGAGCTTTAACAATTACGAGTCAAAGTCCACAAGAAACTCATACAACAATTAGAGTGGATTTAAAGCAGAAAATCAGGTTTACAGTACGACAGAGCAGAGACTTGAGCAGTGACATCACATGAGGAACAACAATAGAATATAGGACAGAAGTTCATATTAAGATCAACTAAACAGTTTACAATCTGACACACTTAGGACCACACGGGTCTGGGAAGAAAGCATCGTTCAGTCTCAGTCTCAGTCCTGGGTCTACAGTCTCAGTCCTGGATCTAGCAGCCTCAGTCCTGGGTCTACAGCCTTCAGTCCTGGGTCTACAGTCTCAGTCCTGGATCTAGCAAGTCTCAGTCCTGGGTCTACAGTCTCAGTCCTGGGGTCTGGGTCTAGTTCTTCAGTCTCAGTCAGTTCTGGGTCTACAGTCTCAGTCCTGGGTCTACTAGTCTCAGTCCTGGGTCTACAGTCTCAGTCTCAGTCCTGGGTCTAGTCTCAGTCCTGGGTCTACAGTCTCAGTCCTGGGGTCTACAGCCTCAGTCCTGGGTCTAGTTCTCAGTCCTGGGTCTACAGTCTCAGTCCTGGGTCTACAGCCCTCAGTCCTGGGTCTACAGTCTCAGTCCTGGGTCTACAGCCTCAGTCCTGGGTCTTCCGTCTCAGTCCTGGGGTCTACAGTCTCAGTCCTGGGTTCTAGAGTCTCAGTCCTGGGTCTAAAGTCTCAGTCCTGGGTCTAAGTCTCAGTCCTGGGTCTACAGTCTCAGTCCTGGGTCTACAGCCTCAGTCCTGGGTCTACCAGTCTCAGTCCTGGGTCAGTTCTGGGTCTACAGTCTCAGTCCTGGGTCTAGAGTCTCAGTCCTGGGTCTAAAGTCCCAGTCCTGGGTCTAAAGTCCCAGTCCTGGGTCTAGAGTCTCAGTCCTGGGTCTACAGCCTCAGTCCTGGGTCTAGTCTCAGTCCTGGGTCTACAGTCTCAGTCCTGGGTCTACAGCCTCAGTCCTGGGTCTAGTCTCAGTCCTGGGTCTAGAGTCTCAGTCCTGGGTCTAAAGTCCCAGTCCTGGGTCTAGAGTCTCAGTCCTGGGTCTACAGCCTCAGTCCTGGGTCTAGTCTCAGTCCTGGGTCTACAGTCTCAGTCCTGGGTCTACAGCCTCAGTCCTGGGTCTAGTCTCAGTCCTGGGTCTACAGTCTCAGTCCTGGGTCTACAGCCTCAGTCCTGGGTCTACAGCCTCAGTCCTAGGTCTAGTCTCAGTCCTGGGTCTACAGTCTCAGTCCTGGGTCTACAGCCTCAGTCCTGGGTCTACCTTAGGGCTAAACACAAATACATTGAATTAAATTGAATCATGAAGGATTTTTAGCAAAGGCACAAATTTGATGTAAAACTGTGGAGAACAAACTGTTATTTGAGTTTAGGGAAATGTGCAGTGTCTCCATGACGACCAAACCCATAAATCCTGACTCCAGCGTGAAGCGGCCGAGAGAAGGTGGTCTGTTCTCGGTGGATCAGCCTCATGTTTTCTGAGACGTTGTAAAAGGACAAAACCCCTGCACTGTGGTCCAGGAAAACCCCAACTCTGGACCCGACCGGACCTGACACTTTGGACTGGACTGAGTTAAACTTAAATGAAGGACTGGTTTTGTCACAGATCAAGGCCCAGGATTTATCATTGTTTCCAAAGAAACATTCATTAGAGCTTCCTTTCCTCTGAATATCTCTGTATGAAACTGCGATACCAACATAATCCTCTGAGCTCCACTCCACCTCCCAGTAACAGCGGCCCCTCACACTCTCTCTGCTCAGGACCTGAGGCCACTCACTGAATCTGTCCTGATGATCCGGATACTTCTGATGTTCTCTCATAACTGTCACTCTTCTGTTTCCATCAGACAGAGACAGCCATGTGCCCACTGTGTTTGTGTCCAGAGTGAAGTCTGTAGAGTATTGTAAGAACTCCTCTCTGGTCTTGGGTTCTGTGGTTAAAAACTGAACTGGACTCAGAGCCAGATAGATGTTGCTGCGTCCCTCCTCCACAGTGAGCTGCAGTCTCTCCCTGAGCTCGGACACGGCTCTGGTCACTTCCTCAAAGGGGCTCCTGGCCTCTGAGTGGCCCCTGACTGGGACTGGCCCCTGTGAGTGTGAGGCCAGTGCAGTGTGGAGCTGTAGAAAGCTGTTGTGGTCTTTGGTGAGGGACAGTGTGTCCAGGTCACAGAGGCTCTTCTTCAGCTCCCTCAGCTCCTGCTTCACTTGGTCTTGGATCTCTCGGACTCGGCTCAGTCCTCTCTCCCTCCTCAGACTGGATCTGTTGCTCCACTTCTTTGGCTCTTGTCTCCAGGAGAAGGATCATGTCTCTGAAGCTGTCCCTGCTGAGCTGCAGTGCTGTGTGGGCAGAGGTCCTGATGTCCTGCTCCTGCTGTTGGAGTGAGCTCAGCTCTGTGTCTCTGTGCTGGACGTCCTGGAGGAGCAGGTGTCTCTGGGCCCCCAGCTGTGCCTGCCTCTGGGCCCTCTCTGAGGCTGAGGACACAGTCTCATGGTCCTTGTGTTTCTCCAGGCAGCAGACCAAACACAGGAGCTGTCCGTCAGTGCGACAGAACATCTTCTTCAGCTCGTTGTGCTCAGAGCACATGTTTTCCTGGAGAGTGTGCGATGGCGCCACCAGCTGGTGTCTTTGAAACACTGCAGAGTCATAATGAGGCTGTAGGTGGCGCTCACAGTAGGAGGCCACACACTGCAGACAGGACTGGACCGCTTTCAGCTTCCTGTCAGAGCACACGTCACAGGACACGTCCTGAGGCCCACAGAGGTACTGAGGGTCAGCACAGAGGTCCTGAGGGTCAGCAGGGGGCGCTGTCCTCCTCTGCTCCACTACAGCTGCTAACAGGATGTTCTTGGTCAGCACAGGCCTCGGGGTGAAGCTCACACGACACTCGGGACAGGTGTAGAGCCGCTGCTCCTCCTCTGTGTCCCAGTGGTCCTGGACACACTTCAGGCAGTAGTTGTGTCCACAGGGAAGAGAGACCGGAGTCTGCAGTAAATCCAAACACACAGGACACAAGAAGAGCTCTGTCTGCGCCATCGCTGCTGCTACAGTTTCACTGACACGGAAATGAAACTTATGAGAGAGAGAGACGAGGGAGGGAGAGAGGGAGGGAGGGAGAGAGAGGGAGGGAGAGAGGGAGGGAGGGAGACGGAGGGAGAGAGGGAGAGGCCTGTGTATATATGTGTGTGTGTGTGTGTGTGTGTGTATGATTCAAAACAACGCCCATTAACCCCAAACAACCACTGACAACACACTCAGAGAGAGCAGAAGGACCAGAGGGAGGGGCCAGTGCGTGTGTGTGTGTGTGTGTGTGTCATGGTTGTGTGTGCGCATACAAGGAAATAATAACCACAGATAATCAAGTGTGTACCTTCAAAAATCTCCAAACTAAACTGTGACTTTTACAGTTTGACCTAAATCTCTCTTTTCTCACAAACATCTTTCTTCAGCAGCAAAAACCTCTGGATCTGCTTTAATGCAGTCTGTACATTTGTTCTAACGTCTCCTTTAATGACACACCATTGTTCTCTTGATGACAACATGGACAGGCTGCAGACCAGAGAGAGGGACCAGAGAGAGAGACCAGAGAGAGAGACCAGAGAGAGAGACCAGAGAGAGACCAGAGAGAGACCAGTGAGAGAGACCAGAGAGAGAGACCAGAGAGAGAGACCAGAGAGAGAGACCAGAGAGAGAGACCAGAGAGAGACCAGAGAGACACCAGAGAGAGAGACCGGATAGAGAGACCAGAGAGAGGGACCAGAGAGAGGGACCAGAGAGAGAGACCAGAGAGAGAGACCAGAGAGAGAAACCAGAGAGAGAGACCAGAGAGAGAGACCAGAGAGAGAGACCAGAGATAGAGACCAGAGAGAGAGACCAGAGAGAGAGATCAGAGAGAGACCAGAGAGAGGGACCAGAGAGAGAGACCAGAGAGAGGGACCAGAGAGAGAGATCAGAGAGAGAGACCAGAGAGAAAGACCAGTGAGAGACCAGAGAGAGGGACCAGAGAGAGAGACCAGAGAGAGGGACCAGAGAGAGAGACCAGAGAGAGAGACCAGAGAGAGAGACCAGAGAGAGAGATCAGAGAGAGAGACCAGAGAGAAAGACCAGTGAGAGACCAGAGAGAGGAGACCAGAGAGAGAGACCAGAGAGAGGGACCAGAGAGAGAGACCAGAGAGAGAGAGACCAGAGAGAGAGACCAGAGAGAGAGACCAGAGAGAGGGACCAGAGAGAGAGACCAGAGAGAGAGACCAGAGAGAGAGACCAGAGAGAGAGACCAGAGAGAGAGACCAGAGAGAGAGACCAGAGAGAGGGACCAGAGAGAGAGACCAGAGAGAGAGAGACCAGAGAGAGGGACCAGAGAGAGAGACCAGAGAGAGAGACCAGAGAGAGAGACCAGAGAGAGAGATCAGAGAGAGACCAGAGAGAGGGACCAGAGAGAGAGACCAGAGAGAGGGACCAGAAAGAGAGATCAGAGAGAGAGACCAGAGAGAAAGACCAGTGAGAGAAAGACCAGTGAGAGACCAGAGAGAGGGACCAGAGAGAGAGACCAGAGAGAGGGACCAGAGAGAGAGACCAGAGAGAGAGACAAGAGAGAGAGAGCAGAGAGAGAGACCAGAGAGAGAGAGACCAGTGAGAGACCAGAGAGAGAGAGACCAGAGAGAGAGACCAGAGAGAGGGACCAGAGAGAGAGACCAGAGAGAGAGAGACCAGAGAGAGAGACCAGAGAGAGAGACCAGAGAGAGGGACCAGAGAGAGAGACCAGAGAGAGAGACCAGAGAGAGAGACCAGAGAGAGAGACCAGAGAGAGAGACCAGAGAGAGAGACCAGAGAGAGAGACCAGAGAGAGGGACCAGAGAGAGAGACCAGAGAGAGGGACCAGAGAGAGAGACCAGAGAGAGAGAGACCAGAGAGAGGGACCAGAGAGAGAGACCAGAGAGAGACCAGAGAGAGAGACCAGAGAGAGGGACCAGAGAGAGAGACCAGAGAGAGGGACCAGAGAGAGAGACCAGAGAGAGACCAGAGAGAGAGACCAGAGAGAGGGACCAGAGAGAGAGACCAGAGAGAGAGAGACCAGAGAGAGGGACCAGAGAGAGAGACCAGAGAGAGACCAGAGAGAGAGACCAGAGAGAGGGACCAGAAAGAGACCAGAGAGAGAGACCAGAGAGAGAGACCAGAGAGAGAGACCAGAGAGAGACCAGAGAGAGAGACCAGAGAGAGGGACCAGAGAGAGGGACCAGAGAGAGAGACCAGAGAGAGAGACCAGAGAGAGACCAGAGAGAGAGACCAGAGAGAGAGACCAGAGAGAGAGACCAGAGAGAGGGACCAGAGAGAGGGACCAGAGAGAGGGACCAGAGAGAGAGACCAGAGAGAGAGACCAGAGAGAGACCAGAGAGAGAGACCAGAGAGAGAGACCAGAGAGAGACCAGAGAGAGAGACCAGAGAGAGACCAGAGAGAGAGACCAGAGAGAGACCAGAGAGAGACCAGAGAGAGAGACCAGAGAGAGACCAGAGAGAGACCAGAGAGAGACCAGAGAGAGACCAGAGAGAGACCAGAGAGAGAGACCAGAGAGAGGGACCAGAAAGAGACCAGAGAGAGAGACCAGAGAGAGAGACCAGAGAGAGAGACCAGAGAGAGGGACCAGAGAGAGGGACCAGAGAGAGAGACCAGAGAGAGACCAGAGAGAGAGACCAGAGAGAGGGACCAGAGAGAGGGACCAGAGAGAGAGACCAGAGAGAGAGACCAGAGAGAGACCAGAGAGAGAGACCAGAGAGAGAGACCAGAGAGAGAGACCAGAGAGAGGGACCAGAGAGAGGGACCAGAGAGAGGGACCAGAGAGAGAGACCAGAGAGAGAGACCAGAGAGAGAGACCAGAGAGAGAGACCAGAGAGAGAGACCAGAGAGAGAGACCAGAGAGAGACCAGAGAGAGAGACCAGAGAGAGACCAGAGAGAGACCAGAGAGAGAGACCAGAGAGAGACCAGAGAGAGACCAGAGAGAGGGACCAGAAAGAGACCAGAGAGAGAGACCAGAGAGAGAGACCAGAGAGAGACCAGAGAGAGAGACCAGAGAGAGGGACCAGAGAGAGGGACCAGAGAGAGAGACCAGAGAGAGACCAGAGAGAGAGACCAGAGAGAGAGACCAGAGAGAGGGACCAGAGAGAGGCACCAGAGAGAGGGACCAGAGAGAGAGACCAGAGAGAGAGACCAGAGAGAGACCAGAGAGAGAGACCAGAGAGAGAGACCAGAGAGAGACCAGAGAGAGAGAGACCAGAGAGAGAGACCAGAGAGAGAGACCAGAGAGAGACCAGAGAGAGACCAGAGAGAGACCAGAGAGAGAGACCAGAGAGAGAGACCAGAGAGAGACCAGAGAGAGAGACCAGAGAGAGAGACCAGAGAGAGGGACCAGAGAGAGGGACCAGAGAGAGGGACCAGAGAGAGAGACCAGAGAGAGAGACCAGAGAGAGACCAGAGAGAGAGACCAGAGAGAGAGACCAGAGAGAGACCAGAGAGAGAGAGACCAGAGAGAGACCAGAGAGAGAGACCAGAGAGAGAGACCAGAGAGAGACCAGAGAGAGACCAGAGAGAGAGACCAGAGAGAGAGACCAGAGAGAGACCAGAGAGAGAGACCAGAGAGAGACCAGAGAGAGAGACCAGAGAGAGAGACCAGAGAGAGAGACCACAGAGAGACCAGAGAGAGACCAGAGAGAGACCAGAGAGAGGGACCAGAAAGAGACCAGAGAGAGAGACCAGAGAGAGAGACCAGAGAGAGAGACCAGAGAGAGACCAGAGAGAGGGACCAGAGAGAGGGACCAGAGAGAGAGACCAGAGAGAGACCAGAGAGAGAGACCAGAGAGAGGGACCAGAGAGAGGGACCAGAGAGAGGGACCAGAGAGAGAGACCAGAGAGAGAGACCAGAGAGAGACCAGAGAGAGAGACCAGAGAGAGACCAGAGAGAGACCAGAGAGAGAGAGACCAGAGAGAGACCAGAGAGAGACCAGAGAGAGAGACCAGAGAGAGACCAGAGAGAGACCAGAGAGAGAGACCAGAGAGAGAGACCAGAGAGAGACCAGAGAGAGAGACCAGAGAGAGAGACCAGAGAGAGGGACCAGAGAGAGGGACCAGAGAGAGGGACCAGAGAGAGAGACCAGAGAGAGAGACCAGAGAGAGACCAGAGAGAGAGACCAGAGAGAGAGACCAGAGAGAGACCAGAGAGAGAGAGACCAGAGAGAGGGACCAGAGAGAGAGACCAGAGAGAGACCAGAGAGAGAGACCAGAGAGAGGGACCAGAAAGAGACCAGAGAGAGAGACCAGAGAGAGAGACCAGAGAGAGAGACCAGAGAGAGAGACCAGAGAGAGACCAGAGAGAGAGACCAGAGAGAGGGACCAGAGAGAGGGACCAGAGAGAGAGACCAGAGAGAGAGACCAGAGAGAGACCAGAGAGAGAGACCAGAGAGAGAGACCAGAGAGAGAGACCAGAGAGAGGGACCAGAGAGAGGGACCAGAGAGAGGGACCAGAGAGAGAGACCAGAGAGAGAGACCAGAGAGAGACCAGAGAGAGAGACCAGAGAGAGAGACCAGAGAGAGACCAGAGAGAGAGACCAGAGAGAGACCAGAGAGAGAGACCAGAGAGAGACCAGAGAGAGACCAGAGAGAGGGACCAGAAAGAGACCAGAGAGAGAGACCAGAGAGAGAGACCAGAGAGAGACCAGAGAGAGAGACCAGAGAGAGGGACCAGAGAGAGGGACCAGAGAGAGAGACCAGAGAGAGACCAGAGAGAGAGACCAGAGAGAGAGACCAGAGAGAGGGACCAGAGAGAGGGACCAGAGAGAGAGACCAGAGAGAGAGACCAGAGAGAGACCAGAGAGAGAGACCAGAGAGAGAGACCAGAGAGAGACCAGAGAGAGAGAGACCAGAGAGAGACCAGAGAGAGAGACCAGAGAGAGAGACCAGAGAGAGACCAGAGAGAGACCAGAGAGAGAGACCAGAGAGAGAGACCAGAGAGAGACCAGAGAGAGAGACCAGAGAGAGAGACCAGAGAGAGGGACCAGAGAGAGGGACCAGAGAGAGGGACCAGAGAGAGAGACCAGAGAGAGAGACCAGAGAGAGACCAGAGAGAGAGACCAGAGAGAGAGACCAGAGAGAGACCAGAGAGAGAGAGACCAGAGAGAGACCAGAGAGAGAGACCAGAGAGAGAGACCAGAGAGAGACCAGAGAGAGACCAGAGAGAGAGACCAGAGAGAGAGACCAGAGAGAGACCAGAGAGAGAGACCAGAGAGAGACCAGAGAGAGAGACCAGAGAGAGAGACCAGAGAGAGACCAGAGAGAGACCAGAGAGAGACCAGAGAGAGGGACCAGAAAGAGACCAGAGAGAGAGACCAGAGAGAGAGACCAGAGAGAGAGACCAGAGAGAGACCAGAGAGAGAGACCAGAGAGAGGGACCAGAGAGAGGGACCAGAGAGAGAGACCAGAGAGAGACCAGAGAGAGAGACCAGAGAGAGGGACCAGAGAGAGGGACCAGAGAGAGGGACCAGAGAGAGAGACCAGAGAGAGAGACCAGAGAGAGACCAGAGAGAGAGACCAGAGAGAGACCAGAGAGAGAGAGAGACCAGAGAGAGACCAGAGAGAGAGACCAGAGAGAGAGACCAGAGAGAGACCAGAGAGAGACCAGAGAGAGAGACCAGAGAGAGAGACCAGAGAGAGACCAGAGAGAGAGACCAGAGAGAGAGACCAGAGAGAGGGACCAGAGAGAGGGACCAGAGAGAGGGACCAGAGAGAGAGACCAGAGAGAGAGACCAGAGAGAGACCAGAGAGAGAGACCAGAGAGAGACCAGAGAGAGAGAGACCAGAGAGAGAGACCAGAGAGAGACCAGAGAGAGACCAGAGAGAGAGACCAGAGAGAGAGACCAGAGAGAGACCAGAGAGAGAGACCAGAGAGAGAGACCACAGAGAGACCAGAGAGAGATGACGTAGTCCGGGCTAAACTCCAGTGTTTTTATTGGTTATTGTCAAACTAACGAGTCTACATCTGTGTGTTCAGCTGAAGAAGCCGGTGAAGCAGACGGAGTGGGTGGGGGTCCTGAGGGTGGGGCCCCCGGTGCAGGACCCGGCCCCCGGCAGCTCCTGTGTGGTCGCTGGATGGGGGGCCCTGAAGTACGGGGCCAAGAGAGGCTCTGACGTCCTGATGGCGGTGAACGTGACGGTGGTGAACAGAGACAAGTGCAACTCTAAAAACTACTACAACCTGCGTCCTGTCATCACACACGGACACGTCTGTGCAGGCTCCGACGGGACCAGCCAGGCCGACTCCTGCCAGGTCTCTTAGAAGCATGGCTAACCACTCTAAACTGTAGTGTCAATCCTAGAAGCATGGCTAACCACTCTAAACTGTAGTGTCAATCCTAGAAGCATGGCTAACCACTCTAAAGCAAGGCTGACTCCTGCCAGGTCTCTTAGAAGCATGGCTAACCACTCTAAACTGTAGTGTCAATCCTAGAAGCATGGCTAACCACTCTAAACTGTAGTGTCAATCCTAGAAGCATGGCTAACCACTCTAAACTGTAGTGTCAATCCTAGAAGCATGGCTAACCACTCTAAACTGTAGTGTCAATCCTAGAAGCATGGCTAACCACTCTAAAGCAAGGCTGACTCCTGCCAGGTCTCTGCGCTTTCTGTGTTTAATACGCTCTTTCTTCTCTCCTCTCTCATATATTTTCTCTCCTCTCCTCTCTCTTTTCCCCCCTCTCCTCTCTTCCCTCTCTTCTTTCCCCTTTCCTTTCTCCTCTCCCCCCTCTTCTCTCTCCCCTCTTCTCTCTCCCCTCTCCGACCTCTCTCCTCTCTCTCCTCTCTCCTCTCCCCTCTCTCCTCTCTCTTTTATCCTCTGTTCATGGCTCTAAAAACAGTGCACACAGGCGCCACCTGCAGGTGAAAGAAGGATCTCGGTGATTTGATATTGAGAATATGAACGGTATAGAAATTGTATTTGAGCCATTGCTGCCATCTTGTGGTTGTAAGAAACACACACACAGGATAGATAGATAGATAGATAGATAGATAGATAGATAGATAGATAGATAGATAGATAGATAGATGTTTTTGATATTTCTTGTGATCTTAATGTTTGTTTTTAATCTTTTTTCAGATGTTTATTATTTATGCCTGATGTGATGAGGCTTTATCTTGTGTTCCAGGGTGACTCTGGGGGACCACTGCTCTGCGACGGGAAACTGGTTGGAGTGACATCGTTTGGGGGTAAAAAGTGTGGAGAAGTCAACAAACCCGGAGTGTACACGCTCCTCACTCACGACAGAGTCCAATGGATCAAAGACACCATGAATGGGGGATAATACATGTGTGGCGCAATTTACATCCACAAGAAAGGACATTTACTTTCTACTCCGATCGCCACAAAATGTACTCAAGACTTGATTACTTCTTCATGTTCAAAACTGAAATTCACAAAGTTACCAAATGTCAAATCCACCCCATAACCAGAGCAGACCATGCCCTGGTCACTTTAGAGATACATCTGATAGAACACCAGAGAGAGACATTGTGGAGGATCAACAATTCGCTCCTATCAGATAAATACTTTCAAGAGAAAATAAAAAAAGACTTTGAAACATATCTAGAAATCAACGACAATGGAGAAGTGACAACAACTATTTTATGGGAAGCAGCAAAAGCAACGTTAAGAGGCCAAATTATAGCATACTCTGCGATGAAGAAAAAAGAAAGGATAAGAGAGAAACACCAACTTGAAATAAAACTAAAAGACTTGCAGGAACAACACCAACTCTCAGCAACTAAAGAAAATGAGAAAGAACTGAAAAAACTGGAAAATATTGACCTTCAAGAAATCGAAAAAGCAACTATGATGAATAAACTGACTTATTACGACAACAGTCCAAAGGCCCAGCGGATGCTTAATGCAAAATTAAAAAAACAACAACAAAATAGAGCAATAACTGTGATAAAAGATGGAGATTCAGAGAGGAGAACAAAAAAGGGAATTCTTTCCACGTTCAAAGACTATTACGAACAACTGTACAGGCCAGAATCTGAAGAAACCAACATAACCAAAGTAGATTCATATATGAAGAGCTTCCAAGTTCCCCGAGTGAGCAAGGCACAAAACGACAACCTAGTAAAACCGATCACACAGACAGAAGTAATACAAATCATTGAAAAGGCAAAACGTGGATCGGCACCAGGAAACGATGGCCTGACATATGAATTCTACAAACAATTTAAAGACCTACTCTCGACTACACTGTGCAGTGTCTACAAGCAAATATTGGAAACTGGAAAATGGCCCGAAACATGGAACTCTGCAATTATCACCATTATAGCCAAAGAAGGAAAAGACCCACAAAGACGCTCTTCATACCGCCCAATATCCCTGTTAAATGTAGACCATAAGATCTTCACTTCCATTCTAACCAACAGACTGTCCGGCATTTTACCACAAATAATCCACTTGGATCAGACTGGTTTGTTAAAGGAGCTATACCCGTTTCTGCAATGTTTGAATGTTTAGCACCGCTCCCCAACTCGCTCACAGGCTTCTCATTTCCCCTGCGCTCTCATAACACGGAGCCACCTAGTTTTATTTGCGATCTGATATGTATGCTAACATTAGCATTAGCGCAACTTGTAAGCTGTGCAACAATCACTGATGAAATGGTACTAAAGCAAAGCACTGCTAACACAATATATAAGTTAAAGAATGCCATTAGTTTCGCGACCGGATGTATTAATTTAAACATTAGAATATATTCTAATATTTAATTATAATTTATTATACAGCTCCTCACAGCAGCAGTAGAACACTCCATTGACTTGAATGCAATTCTTCCGATCATTTTTTCTTGATAACAGAACTCTCAAACCAATAATGACCGCAGCCCCAATGCAATCTCTGTTTGTAATTCAGGTGTGTAAAATACTAACATTACTCTGCAAGTACAACAAGCTATCAGCGCCTGTCACTACATTGTGCAGTTTCTCTGCACACTTGTCTGTGTAGAGAAGCTAGCGGAGCTAGCCACGCTCAATAAACAACTACATATCAATCACTCAACACCATTAAACGTCAATCGGACAATACAGTACACATATACATCCTTAACACACATGCACGGACGATTTCAGAATTTGCTGTCAACGTTTTCATGACAAAAATACTGTTTTAAAGTGACAAAAAGCGATCGCGAAAAACCCGGAAATTACCATGAAACAGCTAGCTAGCTTAGCTGTTACCTGCCTAGCACGTCCAGGTGAAACCTTTGGGAGTGTGAGATTTCATAACACTTTTAAGCAACTTTTGTTAAAGTTAAACTCATCATTCTATCAATGTGCAGAAGCCAGTACTTTTCCCTTGTTTGTTCTATCTGAAGGCCAAGCTACATGGCACCGTGGCAGCTGCTGATTGGAGGTCTCCATGCCTCCGCTCTGTATAATACACTTGCATTCTGTGTTCGTGTTGTTCGTGCTGTCTCTACCATCGACAATAAAACATGTCTTCTGTCTGAATTAAAGACACGATCCCAGACTATGTCATCTTCTTCAGGAGCTAACTATTTTATTTGCAGTCATTAAATACATTTCTAATTATAAGGGTTGTCTAATATTTGTTCAAATATGTATATGTTTTTTATTTTAGAATTATATTCGAATTTTGAAGTTGAAGCCCTGGTGTTAAGCAGCGCTGTAGAGGCTAGAGGACGCAGGCTGGTCGCTTCTTGTTCTGTGAGTGGAGGAGAACGTCCCGCTCAGACTCTACTCAGCACTTTTCACTGCCTGAATTTCATACACAGTGGAATCAATGACCTCAAGTTTTCAATTAAATTATGTATTATGATACAACTTGTATGTAGTAAAAAGCATTTTTATGAACTACTTAGAAAAAAAATAAGGTATAGCTTCTTTAACCTACATAATCATTGCATATTGTACATTTTTGGCAAATTCCTGAGGAGTACTTTTAAACGACTCAGTGGGCGAATAGCACTTTATATAAGCACTTTAACGCAAGAAAATCAGAGGAAATATAAAGACAAGCTAATAATAAGTATATGAGACCAAACTGAACAAATCCAAACCCCATAAGACCTGGGATGACGAGTAAAAACGTTGGTCAGACTCATGGCACAGATCTGCTGCGAGACATTTATCTCAGTTTGTCAGAAAGAGAGAGAGAGAGGTACTTGATTTGAAAATAACGACGCACTCTCCCTCCCCCTTCCTTTCTGATTGGTCTACTACACCTACGTTTCCGTAACACATTTAAATGTTAATGAGAGAACATATTATACTGTACATATACATTATTAATACACATGCACGCAGGTTTTCAGAATTATTTGTTAACGTTTTCATGAAAAAAATAATGTTTTAATGTACAAAAAAACGATCGCGGCAAACCTGGAGGAAGCTATTATCATTAATTGCATATTATAGGACACATCTGCATATGGATTATGGATATAGATTCAGTATATACATAAGTACCTCAGCGCAGATGTTCAGAATGCTTTGTTCAGTTTTCATGTAGTTCCAGAGCCTAATGGAGGCTTGATTCGGAGGCTCCGCGAAAACAAACAACTGAGTATGAGCGCAGCTGCGAGCATCAGCGCCGATGATTGACAGCCCTTGGCATGACTCGATTGGTTAACGTGGACGGCATCGTGGATTCTGAGCTATAGCTAAGAGAAGGGAAGGCGGGACTTAACTGTAATATTAGAATTAATAAAATGACTTATTTTATATGAACAGTTAAGGCCGGGAGGTCAATTTACTACAATTCTTAAAATTTGTAATTAATTTAGAGTTACATACTATCACTTTAATTCATAGAAAACCCGGGACCCTTCACGCAAGAAGGGTCCGTGGTGAACAACCATTTCTCACGTTTTTCACCACGGTAAAGTGGCCCGGCTTTTTGCCGTCGCGGTAAAGTGGTCCGCACATTAAAAGCGGGTTGCTCCTTTACGCTGTTAATGAAAGTAAATGTGGAAAAGGAGCCCGCGGGGATGAGCAACCAAAATGCAATGTTTAAAATTCATCATCACTGTGAACAAGTGTGCAGTGAAAAGAGTTGCTAAACTTTTTTTAATGAATTTTTATCCCTTTCTACATTTACCGTAGGTAACAGCATAAAGAGGCAACCCGGTTCTAATGTGCGGACCACTTTACCGCAGCCGTTTTTTGTTGTTCTTTTCCAAAGGAATTAGAAGAAGAAAAAAAAACTTGATCTGGCCCCAGCGGGCCGTACAACCGACCACACCACAAGAATGGACCATTTGAGTTAGTAAAACCTTTCTCCAAATGTCTAAAACTAGCTAACTCTCTGGAATCCAGGTAGCTTTCTATGCTGTTTTGCCACCCAGTCACGTGACCGGCGCGAAAAAACTATAAACAACAACGTCACTCCAAGATCCTCCTATTGCAAACTGCAAACGTGTAACAAAGATCCCCGTGAGTCCGTTTTGGGATGAGAGATGTGAAAGACAGTGCACCTAGATCCACTTTGTGAATACTTGTGACAAGTATGTAAGTACTGTAGTACTAGTAACTAGTAAGCAGGGATTTGGATAGAAACTCCTGATTAGGGCTGTTAAACAATTATTTTTTATCAAGTTAATTACAGCTTAAAAATGTATTAATCGTAATTAATCGCAAACTACTACTACTACTACTACTACTGCATTTCGGCAAAATTGTGCCATATTTTTCAGTAAATAGTTGTTTGAATGGAAAGATAAATAACAACATAGTGTACATATGTACTGTATTTGTTTATTAATACTCTGAGTGTTATTATGGGATGTATGGGCGGCTCATTCGGCACATGCGTCAAATGCATTCATTTTTTAAACGCGATTAATGAAAAAATGTAATAACGTGCGTTAATGCAATCATTTTGACAGCCCTAATAAATACCCAAGCTTTAGAAAACAAAGTAGACTAGTTTTAAATATTACGCAAATAAAACACAAATTACTATGATACTACCCAAAAATGCTTTACATATTACATCGTGTCTAATGACATATTAGATTTTAAAGGTGGTTAGAACCCCCGGTGCAAAGGCAATCTTATTTACAATGAGTTTAATGGAATCAATGAAGCTATAAAATATATTGGGATGGTTCCAAATACCACTTAATGTGTCAGCTAATGGAAGTCTTCGGGAAAAATGGACAACCAACAACAATGTATGACTGTGTTAAGGAAGCAAACATTCTCAGATCAATTACACAAATACTGCAGACAATGGTAATATATTGATGAAATGTATTATTCTATGATTCATAAGTGTAGAGAAACGTGGAAGTAGAGTGCG